GCGGGCCAACCCAGACGCCCGGCCAGAGCGCCGTCGACGAGGACTGCCACCACTGTTTCTCATCCCCAAACAATGATTACGCGTCCCTCCCGTGTCGCCACAGCCACAGTTCATCCGAGCTGATCCCGGGCGATGTTATTTTGTTCGGTGACCGAGGCACGAGTGACCTTCAGACCGACCGGCGACCAAGGAGAGCCATTCTGATACCGGTCTGATCTGACTCGGATCTGATCGGCGGGAGAAGGGTCACATGAGACTGCTTCACTGACCTGAAGACGACATAAACTTCACGAGAGCGAGGCTCTTACAGGCCGCGGGCGGCAGTGCACCTCTGGCCGGTCGGAACACGAGAACCTCCCCGCGCTGCCAGCTGGGAGCGCAATAAAAGCTGCCGTCCATCTAGTGAGTCGCGGACGAGATGGGCCGGCCTCTGTTCGCCCGAGGGTTCAAACGGCCCCAGCGCTGATCCCAGGCGGCCGTCCCTCAGCGCGACGCCGCCGCAGGATGGATGGACAGCAGCCACCAATGCATGACAATGACACGCGGCATCCACAGCACAGCGAACGTCGCACCGCCGCCAGGTCCCGGGCGCGGCCCGGGCAGCCACTGTCACCGGCTCGGTGGCCTCGCCGATAGTCGGGGCTCCATTCGCCTTTGATGTTGAACACGGCGGGGACGGCTAGATTCAGCACGCGATGTTGACCGGGTCGGCGGACGCTTTCCGACGCATCTGGGCGTGTCGAGCCGGCCGGAGGAGGCGGATCAAAACGCCCCGCAGCACGGCGCAGCCAGCTCTGTTTGTCGCGTCACTCGGGCAGCCCAGACCCACTCGACGTTTTGATGAAGCGCCATTGTTCGGCGGCGTGATTCATCGCCAACGCCTCTCAAATGGGCCAAACATTGGCGCGAGTAACGGCAGGGCCGGACGGGTTCAAGGGACGGCGGCCGGTCACGGCACTGGTGGCGGCGAAACAGCCCGACGTCCAGCTGCTGCCGTTAGTGATGGCCCCCTGGCCGCCCACTCGGGCCGCCCTCCTCCGAACGAGGACGCGCCACATGTATCAGACACCCGCCAAAGACCACGGCCGTTGCCACGTCTGGGAGCTACCGCTGCACCTACCGCGCGTCACAGAGTCCGCCTCAGCCCATGGGCTCCAGCTGAGTGACCCTGAAACATTTGCACTACAAAGAGGTAATCACCTTGCCCTTTATGAGACTACCAGCAAAACATTGACGCCGTCGAGCCTGGGACCGTTGTCACAACACGCCCGTCCGTGCCGGGACTTAAGCAGCTTAACAAGCTCGCACCCGGCAGCTGGCGACGCGGCCCGGCCATGACGCCCGGAGACTCAGGCTCGCGCGCGCCGCCCGAGCACACGCAGCGCGCCCGCCACCCGGCCGCACACCGGGCCAGGGCTCCGGCCGTCTGATGCCGGTGCCGAGCCGAGCACGTGTCAGCCCGGCGCGCCGCCCCTCCCGCGGCGCCGGCGGCCCACGGCCGAGGTCGGGGCGCATCGGAGCGGAACGTGCGTGATGTCAAGGCGGCGGCGCTAGTGATCGGCGCTCACCGCTCAGACCAGGGTCGGCGGCGAGGCCGGGCGGAGAGCACTGCCATCCGTGGCCGCGCTCAGCTGGTCCTCACCGGGACTGGGTGGGACCTCTGAGGCGGGCGGAGAGCACTGCCATCCGCGGCCGCTCAGCTGGTCCTCACCGGGTCTGGGTGGGACCTCTGGCGACGCCGGGCGGAGAGCACTGCCGTCCGCCGCCGCCTAGGCGGTCACCAGCGGGTCCCGGTGGGACCTCTGGCGTGGGCGGGTGGTAGCCGAGGCGGCAGTCAGCGTTGCGCGTTGCGCCGCACCGATCAGCGGCCGGCCCCCGGCCGCCGCCCCTGGGTGGTCCGGCGGCCGGGGCGCCGGCGGCCGGGCGACAGAGACGCGGCCGGACCACCCGCGCCGAGCAGCCGCCGCTGAGGGCGCCGGCCCCCGGCCCCCGGCCCCGGGCCCCAGCCGCGTCACGGCGCCAGCGCCGCTGCAGTTCAGAGGCGCGCTCACCGGCGGTGCCGCCTTCACCATCGCCACGCCGATGGCTTGCTGTTTTAGATGCCGGACGCGAGATCTCACAGGTTCTCACCACGGAAATTCCACATGCTAGTAGGGTCAAGCGGCAAGGGAGCTCGGCTGCCTCACGGAAGTCTGTGCCGGCCTGCTGTCATAGAACACCACGCCCCGTGACTTCACAGCCTTTAAACGAGGTAAACAGCGCAAAAACAGTGAATTCAGGCATCAGTTCTATCATACGAGCTATGCGAGGCATGACACGAAGGACAACGGCATCGTACAGACCTTGACAGACTGCACGATGGGCTCATATTAATAACAAATAGCTGTGACATTTGGCCAGTAAAATCCGAGACGTATTATCCGCGATACGTCATGCCTTGAACCACTAGGAACCTATGGGTTTCTGTGTACTTCTTCCGGTGTTTTTGGAGGGGAGTGGGGTCTTTCAATGCCAGACGTTTAAAGTGTCTAGCCGAACAGGAAAAAAAAACTATTCCTCCCGTCTCAAATGAGCATATTCCTTTTAGATGATTGAGTCTATTATTATTGCTAGGCGTTGGGCCCCAAATTATATCAACAGCATTCCCGGCACACCAGATTTCGTGCCGTCAGTTGATTTTGAAGCCGTTTTTTAATCTGCATAATGGACTCATGGAGTGGCATCTGGACTGAGTCAGAAACAATTAAACTTCAGCTAAAACTTTAGAACAACGACACATCTGCCGCATTTCCACGTTCATAGTTACTGAAGTAGGATGTTGAATGGGTACGTTGGCGATCAAATCTGTTTGCGACGCGGGAAACAAGGTGAACGTGACTTACTATTGTTGTTCAACTTAGCGGCGGAACCTTCGGAGGGCTAAATGCAAATCGAATCGCGTATCCCATCAGACATCCAACTTCCACGCGACGTGACTTTTGCATATCGCAGCACGCCGGCGATACCACTTTGTTCTTTGACAGGTCGGAACGATGGCTCAACGGCGCGTTCAGTGAAATCCCAAGGTTGTCGTCTTCATCCGGTCGTAAACTTAACATAGAAAAACCGTCATGTGTGATATTTGGCATATGGCCCAAACTGACGGAATACACAGGCATGGCTTGAAATGAATTGATAAAGTGAAGATATAGGGGTAAAGTTCACTAGAATTTGTCGCCCACGCCACTGCGAGCGCGACTTGCGAACCGAGGCCACCGCCGAACAGACAGTATCGCTGGTGATAACGGTGCTATCGCCCGCGAGCTGCGGACTCGCTGCTGCTCAGCGCCTTCTGCCCACATGCCCGGCTAGGTGCCACCAACGGGACGTGAAGGCCGCCCCGCACGTGCCGCACGTCAAAGGTCAGTCTAAGGTCAAGGTCGCTTCGGCTGGCGTCGCGCTCAATGGACGCTGACCCCGGATTGGCCAGGCTGCGCGGCATCGTACCTTGAAGCAGACGTCACGTACATGCAAGCTCCGGTGCCCTGGAGCGAGGCAAGCACGGGCAACATCACGGCACCGTTGTGTACGTGCCGGCACACGGAGCGTGGGAATTTCATGGACGTACCGTGCGGCAACCGCGGGGACAACTTCAGAACCAAATCAGCATTCAGCAAGCGGCGGGTGAAGCGGACGCTTAAAGAAACGGGAGTGCCATAAATCCTAACCGATCACACCGACTTCAGAAGCTACCGAGAAGCGGGGAAGCGTTTCGAGACTTCATGAGGAGCTTAGCCCACCGAGCGCAGTGTCCGGCTTCCGTCACGACAGCCGGTTGTCATTGCGCTGTCAAGCAGTGTCACGTGTGTGAAACTGTAATGTCATTTGCGGCGCCCAGCGTGGGCGGCCGGGCCCGCGTAATCAGACAGTTGACCGCACGCCCGTCACAAGAGACCGACGGGTCAGCCGGCCGGCTTTCCGGCGCCGCCGCCGCGTCAGGTCCGGTGCGCGGAGGAGAACGGTGGCAGCCGACCGGACCGGACCGGACCGGACCGGACCGGACCGGACCGGACCGGACCGGACCAGACCACACCAGACCAGACCAGACCAGACCAGACCAGACCGGACCGGACCGGACCGAGGAGAACAGGCGCATGACAACGCCCGCGGGAAGCGCGCGGTTCCGGCCATACTCAGACGCTCTGGAGCCGGTGCTCGTCGGCACCGGAGCGTTCGGATCACCGGAAGCCCACGGGGAACGCTGGCACGTGTCGACTTGAGAGTAAGCCCAGCGAATGCTCTGTTCGGCCTGCCGTACACAGCACTCCCCGCGACACCCGAGAAACCGTCAAGGGTCATTGGCCAATTCGGAGTAGCGGTGCTGCATTTGTGTAACCCGGGGCGGAAGATATGCTTCACTACTTCGAGGAACAATGGCTATGCCGCCGAAGCTCCTCGTGGCACATTACGTAAAACACAAATGTCTGCAGGATTGTGGTTTCCCTTGAACCGCAGATAATGGTGTGTTGAACAGCACGCTGAGTGGTGTTCGACTTTTCGAGCACATCCTTCCGGTGGAACCTGTATTCAAGACATCCAACTCCGCATAGCAAGTTATGCAACCTGTTCCCAAAATCTCACAGGAGGCAGTTCACGTGGTACTCGTTTAGCTGACATCGAATACATGAATGTCACCTGCAGTCTGCAGCTCTGCCCAGCCCTGCCAATTCCCGGCGTGACTAAACTCCACCACATCCCACCACTACTCATGCCGTCTGAGCCAAGACACCGCTCCTCGGCGCCCCTTATCGCGACCGGCGCAGCACCCAGGCAGTACGCAGTACCCAGGCAGTGCACAGTACCCAGGCAGTACGCAGTACCCTGCGCCGTACGCAGTACACAGTACCCAGGCGCGGCCAAACGGCCCGCTGACCCTCACACCCACTCACGCCGTCTCACGCGGACCCCGCACCCGTTCTTGCGCGGCCGTCTGGCACACTCCGCCGGCCGGCGCCACTCACCTGATGCAGCAGCTCGAAGCCATGCTTCTGCGCCACGCGGCGGGCGTGCGCCTCGCCCTGCCCGTCCACGCACAGCGCGAACTCGTCCGTGTAGACGGCGGCCGCGCAGGCGGCCCCGGCCAGCAGCAGCGCCGCGGAGAGCGCTGCGCCACCCATCGTCCGTCCCGCGCCGCGTGAGCGCGCGCTCCGCTCGCGGCACTGTCCCGCGGCGGTGGCGGCCGCCGGCTGGCGCTCCCGCTCCGGTGACGCCGCTAGCTCATCGCGCCCCTGCCGAGACGGAGCGCCGGGTCAGGCGGCGCGAGGCACGGGGCGGGGATGGGTCTGTCGGCGGCGGGGACGGGTCTGTCGGCGGCGGGGACGGAACTGTCGGCGCTGTCGGCGGCGGGGACTGTCGGCGGCGGCGGAGCTTCCGCAGAGACGGCGAGGCTCGTCGGCCGGTGTTGAGCTGGCCGTCTCTGCCAGACACGGTCAGTGTTGGAGACACCCTGCCTGGGGCAGTCGGGCAGTCCTCCCTACCAAGACCCTGTTTTGATGCTTTACGCCCCCGCCGCAGCGCCAGAGCCCCGGCACCCAGCAGCCCCGCCGTCGGACCGTGGCAGACTGAAACTCCGGTCGGCCCGCAGCCGGGTGGGCTGCGCACAACGCCGCCCGAAACTCGAGCCGGCCACAGGTGGACGGCGACCGGGTGGCGCCGGCGCGCGCGCCTATCGGTCAGCACAGCGCGCGCACAAGGCCAGCCGTGCGCCGGCGGCCTTCGCCTCGCGCCCGGCCGCCAGAAAACCTCACCCTACCGGCTGGCCTCACTGCCAGCTGCCCTGCAGCAGCAGCAACACGTTCGCCTCGTCTCCCGCTAATTAGTCCGAGAAGCCAATTTGCCTGGTACTGTTCCCGCTCCAAGTCGCCCAACTGGGCGAAGTTAATACAGACCAATTGCGTTCAGACTGGCGCTGTCCTTGACATCCCCGGGCGGATGACGCGCACGAAATGCCGCCCTCGCCGCTGGAGGACACTCGTCCGCCGCCACCCCGGACAGCGAGGGCACGCGGCAGCGGCCGGGACAGCCAAGAGAGTCCCCCGACACAGCCGCGGTGTGGAGCGCCTCGGCCGCAGCGAAGATAGCACAGAATTGCTGGCACTGTCTCAGTCCGCGAGGAGCAGCCCAGGGTCCTGGCGCATGATTCACTGATTATCCGTGCAGACTTCGGCGAGTTCGGCAGGCACTGAGTCATAATGACCGGAACCGTCACTGGGTTGCGTCAAAATGCATGAATGACTCTTGACACATGCACTGTTTACGACAGGCTGGATGCACAGCGTGTCATGTCCCTATTCTGTGCCCAAATACGGACAACGTAACGATCCGCGCATACCTAGCCTCCAACCAGGTTACAATCAACCGATATTGTCGGTATCGACTCGGTCTGAACGGACCTCACTGAGCCGTCTCCGCCAAAACGACACCAGCATCGGCGCAAAACTGAACCGTGCCGTCTCGTCGGAGTGAGCCGCTCTCGCAGCCGCGCCCAGCGGGGCGTCGCGGGCCTGGGCGCGGCCGTGGCCGCTCCGAGACGGCGCCGGGCGGCGGTCACCACGATAACGAGCTGGTCCAAGGTGGACCGGATGCGTCCAGTCAATAGACGGCTCCCCGATAATGATCGGGAAGCGGCCGAACAAACAGCCAGTCCCCGGCACGGCCGCGGCCCGGTGTTTGGCAGCCCTCGGCGGCCTGCAAAGAACCGGTCAGGCGCCTGATGCGTGGCCGCGATGGCCGAGGCGTGGCTGCAGAAGCAACAGCGGAATTTTGTTTTGGGTCCACGGTTGCTAGCTGCAAAATACGAAACTGGGAACATGTCGTGCATTGTGTAGCATGTGCGACCATGCCCACGCTTATCGGCACTTTAGCGCAACACGAAAACAATGTTCCATTGATAAAATTGAAAGCTGTTTTGAGAACAAACAAAACACAGTCATAACATGAATGTTCTGAACATCAAAACATGGTGCCGGCAAACCGTGTCACTCCCATGAGGGAGCACTCCATGCGCCAACATTTCTTACATATGCACATCCTTCTGAACTAAATTAACTTCAAATTATCTTGCATGTGCAAATATCTGAACCTTCCTCACCAGCATCGAAACTTTCGAGACATGGTATTCCTGTCAAGAGACAGCTGCGAGGGAGATTCGTCTGCTGACTGCTCACTTGTGGTCATTTCAACAATAAAGGGTCATTAACTGGATCGAAAATATCCGTGCGCAGACCAATCGATCGACCAAACTAGCTGGTAGTCCACGCTCGGAGCAGCTGGGGTCGATCGTCGACAAAACTTCACCGTTCGAAGCCTTACAGTCGATAACCATAGCAACCTTGGGCGAGGCCAAATGACACAAAACCGTCCGAATTAGCTGCAGATGATCCCATGCTCCAAGCCTGTGGACTGATTGCCACTGAGCCTTCTCTATTCAATGTGTCGTGGTCGATAATCTTTCCGTTTGACAGTCGTTCAGTACGACGTGGTGACCTTCGGTCAGGGCAAAGACCAGCCGAATATTTGTCTGATGCTGGCAGTTTCTGATGTTTTTGGTGACCTCTGACCTGACCTATGGGATCAACCATGGATCATCTTCAGCTATCTTTGTGCTTTCACACATTTATGATGACCTCTGACCCAACCCCAGGCCACATAATTGCAGAAAGTAGGTGTTCAACCTAAGTATGGTGTATTGAATGGTGAAAGCTTGGTGGCAATCAGCCACAAGGGCTCTGGGCACAGGATCCTCTGCAAACTGACCTTGGCAGTTTTGGTGTTACAGTGACATTTCAGCCTATCCCAAATCAAGCATGCTCTAGATGGAAAAGATCATCAACTTTTATTGTGCATATTGCAGTGCATTGCAGCATCTGCAGCAGATTTGGGTAATTTCTGGTTATTTGTGAAACTTTTGACTCAACTCAACGTCATAATGCGCTGGAGAGAATAGGTTCACATCTATTTTGCACCAAGTGCTGAAGGTTTGGTGGCACTTGCTAACTCATCAGCTTAGGGCATAGGGTTGCTTGCAGTCAAGTTTGGTGTGTTGGGGTATCTTTAGTGACCTCTGATCTGACCTAAGGTGTTCAGAAAATGATAGGCATATCCTAAATGAAGTAATGCAGCCAATTTTGAACACCTTTAGCATTATATACATCTATAGGCCATGAAAAACTGCACTATCAACTTGCATATGTCATGTGCATGTCTAAGGAGCCTTTGTCAGTCAGCTAGTACATATGCCAGATGCATCACATACCAAATGTGCCCACAATGCGCACATATGGCATTCCCCTTTGTTAGGGCCCACCAGATAATGCAGGAGCACATAGCACTTAAAGCACTAGCAACATTTTCAAAAATGCTGTCAACCCCCATGGGATGGCAATGTCATGATTACCAGGACTGAGGAGAGCAGTTTTGGAAGGTGGGCTACCTCAAGAAATGACACACAAGGAAGGCTAAGACTACGGACATGGCCAGCTCAGGCATTAGGCTTCTCCCTTACATCCATGGTGAGATTATATTTACAATTCTTAATTCTAGAGTAAGTACACAACATAATTTATCCAGCCTGACACATGCTCTTAAAAAAACTATCTACTGCCAAGTTTTAGCTCAGCATTATACAATCACCGTCCCGGCAATCTGTCACATAGGGAGTGAGAAGGGGAGCTCAAGTTTCTTATGGTAGCCCGCATAAAACAAAGCACCAAATTACATAGTTAAGCCAGATTTGAACTGTGTTGATCTTGGTCACATAAATATTGGTTTAGTGATATCACTTACAAAAAGGGTCAGACAAACAAAAATTTATAAGTGCACAGCCACATCCACCCCATGCCTATTTTACTTACACTACCTCAATGCAATTTTGCCTCCAGGCATTTTAGCCACATAGGAAAGGAGACAGGTAATTTGAGCTACATAACATCATGGCATAGTCATGCAGTCAGGTCAGCTTTTACCACTCAGGTTAGCTTTTACCACCCATATGCCAAGTAGCCTTTTAAAGCTGGTCAGGAAAAAAAATCATCTGCATGTCTGGAGCCTGTTAATGGAGTCAGTGTCTCTGGATTGTTAATCTGGCCTGCTCTCCAAAAGTTTGAGTACAGGCCAACATGAAAAATATCAATCACCCCTCCACAAAAATATAAAGAAGCTCAACATTTGAGTTAAGACCTGTACCTACTTACTAAATGAAAGAGGGTGTCATTCTTACCATAGGATCAGTGCTTGACATTCTTGTCACATTTCAAAGTTCAGTTTGAATGTAATGACATGTGTTTGACAGGCAAAACAACACAAGCATCCTTTTGACATTGCACACTGACTAAAATCATGAATCACTTACGGCATCTGAGAACACACCTGTCATTAAGGTTATCATGATCAAAATGTCATTCAATTTTTTGAATGCACTGAATGCATCCTCCCATAGCCCGAATTCAACGCACTGCATTATACCACTAAAGCGTCTACAACAGTAAGCAGCTATTACACAGCTCAGTCACCGTTCTCACCTATTTGCTACTTCGGTGCAACAGCCTGAAGACAAAGACCATCAACTTATACCGCAGCTTCGGAGAAAACGGCTGCCACTAGGGTCGACGTATTTCCTCCCCCACTAACGCCGGAGAGCAAATAACTTTGTGGCTTGCCTACCCCTCCGCCACGCTGCTCACCACCAACCCCGTCCACGGACACTCGGCGATTGCGGAAGAACGAGTTCGGGACCGAAGGTTGCCTCCGGCACTGGGCTGCCATATCATGAAAGCCTTACCAAAAAATTCGCAAGAGTTGAAGTATTTCTACGGATTCCTTTACAGCGGAGAGCTGTCCTCAACCGTAGTACCACACGCGAAGAAGTGCATCAGAAAGTAAAGGCATCATTTCCAATTTTGACAGGTCCTTACCATGTATCGTCACAGGATACATTCTATCCAATACGCCCGGAAAGTGGGGCCTGCGACACCCCACGTTCCTGCGGTTATGCATGGAATAGCTCATTCCTGTCAATGATTTGGAAGAAAACAGCAATCAATAAATTCAGCGGCTTAGGGTTAGCAAGCCAGATATTACACGATGGTAACTGCCCTAGCCTTCCCACAGCCGATTGGTGAAAGGGACAACTCATTCAATATTGCAAGCACAGCCCCATGCAAATCAATGGCCCCCGAAGGCCGATGATACGGCATGTAAGGCGCTGCGTCACGAAATATTAAAGGCCTCCAGCATATACGATATGCCAAAATAGAGCAGCAACGGTCTTGCATTAACCAAAAAGACCCCATAAATCTGTCTTTTAGTAACTCAGCCGACAACGGCGGCGATGGGACTAAGACCGCAGTGGCGGATCGTTGACCAACCACTTCCCCGCAAGCTCCAGCGATTGCGGGAGCGACGCACGGCTCTTGAATACACCACCGGCCTCGTGTCCGGTTCCCCTGCAAGCACAGCAAATATTCCCCAGCGTCCTCGCGAAGAGAGAATTTCCAACACAAACCCTCATTCCTGTATTTATTGTGAAACATTACCACAATGCAGGTAAGTCGACACAATCCAATAATTATCTGACTAGACAGGCTGTTCTTGTGGGCTATGTACAATTCACCGCGCGTCTGTCCGCACGCAGCGCATTACTGCATGCGGGATGGGGGCCTCACGAGCGCGTCACAGTACCCTCTCGGCCGGCGACGCGGGCACCGTCCTGCATGCATGCACGCACACACCCACACACACGCGCACGCGCACCTATCGACTCACACCTAGCGAGGACGGTCTGCCCGGCGCCGGCGCGCTGCCGGTAGTCTGATTGATGCCCACGGCAGCTGCAGGGGGAGGGGGGGGGGGGGGGGAGCGACGGCAGGGATTGGGCCTGCTGAGCCTGCAGGCAGGGATTGGCAGCATCTTGAAGTGTAGGCGGGGCTGGCGCCCCCCAGGTGCACGCGGGGAGACAGACGTCGCCCCGCGACGCAGGCACGAACTGATGTCGCTGTGACGCGGGCGCGGACCGGCGCCCCCACGTGCCCGCGGGCAGGCAGTGACGCCCCACGTGACGCCGCTGTGGCACCACCCTGTGACGCAATCGGGGCTGGAGCCATCCTAAAGCTGCCACAGGTCATGGGCGGGGCACCATCACAAGAGCTAGATTTGGTTGGCTAGACGCTGACGTCATCACTGGATCCGTATCACGGGGAAGTACTTGTGGGAGGCGAAGTCGAATAGCGGCGAGCGCGCCCGCTCGTGGCCACCAGCTAGGATCTTCGCCACCACGTAGTTGGTCTTTGCTACCCTCGTCAGGGTAGACACCTGGTGGCAAGAGCGCGTGTGAAAAGACGCTCCGTTATACCTACTAACTAGCTTTAACTTTACATTAATACTTTGTGAATGCAGATGATAAAGAAAACAAAATCGGCACTTCGAAGATGCCACAGAAAAATAAAGTCCCTGGTGCGATATAACCGATATACATACTGCGCGAGAAGAGTGCGCAAAATATGGCGACGTTTGTTATGAAACAATAACATCATCAAACAGCTTAGGATGCACCCTTGCTAGTGTGCTCAAGTCAAACTGTTCTGAGCAACTTATGAAGCACATTTATGTTCCTCTGACACGTCGACCCCGCTTCCACAGTCAACTGTGCCTCGAGCAGAGACCATAGCCGTACCTCTGAATCGTTGGCCGGCAACGTCTCCAGCAAGTTCCTGGCTTGGTGAAAGCACCGGCAGGCGTCCGAGTACGCCACGGCCGCTCGGTTCTGCGGAGAACAGGCCGCCTTACGATCAGGCCTGCCTCCGACGACACACCCGGGGCGGGCCCGCAAGAGCGGCGCCCGGGCGCAGGGTACGCACCGCTGCAGCGTCAAGTCTCAGGCAAGAGCAGGCCAAACTTTGCTGAAGAACGGCTTAATTCACCATCCCTTGCTACGCATATCACAAGCACTACCTCATCTGATAAAGAACGCATCTGTTCGAGCACGAAGACGCATCGGATCACACCGGTCCGGTAAAAACACACTGGGGCGGGATATCAGCGCGCCCACGGCCGCGCCGTACCCACCTGGTCGGGTAGCATGCTGGCCATGTGCCGGTACTGGCCGTACTGGACAGGCGGCGGCGTCGCCACCACGTTGAACGGCGAGAAGCGGTGCTCGTACCGCACGCGCTCGTTGTCAAACTCGGCGTGCGGCCGTTGCAGCCGACCCTCCTCCTGCAGACCCACGCAGGTCTGAAACAGGGCGGCGGGCCGGCGGTCAGGTGACGTCAGACGCTCCCTGCCGAAGGTCGCGGCGCGGCTCCCGCAGCACTGCAGGTCCACACAGCACCGAGAAGGCGCGGGTCCCGCAGAACTACAGGTCCACACAGCGCCGAGAAGGCGCGGCTCCCGCAGCGCTGCAGGCCCGGACAGGACCGAGAAGGCGCGGCTCCCACAGAACTGCAGGTCCACACAGCACCGAGAAGGCTCCCGCAGTACTGCTGGTCCACACAGAACCGAGAAGGTGCGGCTCCCGCAGCACTGTTGTTCCACACAGCACCGAGAAGGTGCGGCTCCCGCAGCACTGAAGACCCACACAGCACCGAGAAGGCGCGGCTCCGCAGCACTGCAGGTCCACACAGCACCGAGAAGGCGCGGCTCCCGCAGCACTGAAGACCCACACAGCACCGAGAAGGCGCGGCTCCCGCAGCACTGAAGACCCACACAGCACCAAGAAGGCGCGGCTCCCGCAGCACTGAAGACCCACACAGCGCCGAACAGGCGCGGCAGCCAGCAGTCCGTTCTGCAGTGCGCCACCGCCAGCCGCGGCAGGCGCCCGCCCACTACACCACGGGCTGTTCAGGCCTGAGACGTGCTGCTGATCCGCTAACCTCCCGCCGCTCAACAAGCCACGTCACGGCAGGACAGCTGCGAAACATCGCACTCTCCTCGGCTCCGGACGAGCCCCTGCCTCCCGCATACGTCCGGCCCGCCGACAAGGCGCCACGGCGAGGCTCCGCACCGGGCCGCCGGCCGGCGGCAGGGCGCGGCGCGAGGCGGCACGCGGCACCAAGACGCAGCGCCGCAGGGTTCCCACCTTGTGCAGACCGCCGCACAGGTTCTGCAACGCCTGCGTCATGACCACGTCGCGCTCGTAGCGGCCCTTGCGCTTCTTGGCGCGGCTCTTCTTGTTGCTGCGCGCGCGCTGGGCGGCCAGCTCGGTGGCCGCCTCGTGCTCGGCCAGGAACGAGTCGGCCCGGTTCAGCGTCGACACCATCCAGCCGTACAGGCACTCGGACAGGTACCTGCCACCACAGCACCGCGTGTTACCCAACGCAACGCTCCGTAAACGGGTGTACAGATAAACCAGCCGCATAGGCAACCAGCGATCGCCGGAAGGCACAAAACCACAGGTAACGGCTAGTTTTTTGTTGTTTTACTGAACTGAGTTGCGTTGTCGCCAACTCGCTTTCCGCGTTCTTTTCACAGTGCCTGCCGCGCACGGCGCCACACTGTTTCTTCGATTCACGAGTGGATTCTACCAGTACGGGTAAACCAATGCGAGAATGCACTTTCCGGCAATTAACAATCCAGTCAGGACAGCGAGCGTGCCATTGCCGGCAACGATCAGCACCGCCCAGCCCATTTTGCTTCAGCATCCACTTATGTTCAGAAGCCAGTCGCACGGCAATGATCGGCATGCCTGGGTCCAAAGCCTGCTGGACTACGCCGCCACACAATCTCAACCGGCTTGCTCCGAATAAACGACGCCACCCAGCCCAGGCCGCTGTCAGCTGGCTGCCAGCGTCGGTCGGGCCGGCGGGCGAGCCGCGGGCGGTAGCGGGAGCCGCTCACCAGTAGATGTAGTGGTACTCGTGAACGCTGTACAGCTCTAGCTCGAAGCCGGAGAGCAGGTACTGGATCATGACGCGCAGCACGTGGTACAGGATCCAGGTGGTGAAGCAGACCAGGTGGTGGCGCGCCGGCTCCAGCTGCCGACACAGCCCGTCCAGCAGCGTGTCCACCCGCTCCGCCTGCCGGGTCACGGGGTCACCGCGTCAGTGGCCGGTCCGCTGCGCGCCAAAACCGGGCTTGGGTTCTCCTCTGGTGGGTGTTCAGCGTCAGGTCAGGTTGTAGTCGTCAGGTCGGCCCACTGGTACCCGGACGCACGTGAGGTCAGATCATGTCACTCTAAAGGTCGGGTCATGTCATGTCGGCCCAGGAGCGACCACCGTCTTATCCATCGCATGGTTACCCCCCCCCCCCCCCCCCCCCCAAGGACCTGCTTTTACGGAAATGTATTACGAAAGGTTTGCGTGGGTAGTAGTGAGCCTGGCTGAGTAGAGCTTATCACTGCTACCCTAAACCTATCAACCAGCTACCGACACTGCAGTTCACTGGATAATTTGCCCACACCTTTCCTACCAACGGTTCACGGAGGTCGTTTTTAGTACAAGCTTTTGACCATAGCGCCATATGCCAGCCTGTCCAATTAACAACTCATTGACTGGACAGAGCGTTGCCAGGTCAACATAGGTCAGGCCGGGTCGGGCCACTGACCTCCTCCTGCAGGCCGGCCAGGTCTGCCAGCACCATCTCCAGCTTCTGGCGCTGGCGGGCCCGGTTATGGCCGGTCACCTGCAGCAGCTGGTAGAAGGCCACCTGGCAGTGGCACATGAACAGGTCCACCGCGTCCTTGGCCTGCAACCGCGCCGACACACCGTAAAGCGTTGCACACCACACCCGCACCTAGACCTCAACGGCAAACAGGGGTTGATGGTGATGATTGGGGTTTTAGGGCGCGTCGACTTCTAGGGTCATTTTGCGCCCATAACAGCTGGCAAACAGGGGTTACTGCAGGGTGATAACGAATCGCAGCATGGGAGAAGAGGTTCTCAAATTTAACACACGCTTAACGATACATCTGTACGTGTCCCACGTCAAAATCTTTGGCCTCCTGCTAGATACGCCTTCGGTGGGAGACACACGCCTAGAACAAGAATGCGTTGCGCTTGCCAATGGACCGCGAAGTGAAAACTACGACAACTCAACGTTCATCAATTGATACACAACAAAAATACTGTTCAAACTTTGAGCATTCAAGTCAAACATGCCTGTTTGATAAATATGAACAGCCATAAAGGCATGCCTCAAACTGAACAGGACCAAGTCTACGGCAGCTTACCTTCCAACTAAGAACTAGTGAGCCTGTGAGTGAGCCTGTGAACACCCGTACCCTTCTGCTGGCCAGACCTGAGACAGCATGGCGGACCTCCTGGTTGACCAGTACCCGTGAGCGTCCCTACCTTCCCACTGACCAGACCTGAGATAGTGTGGCGAACCTCCTCGTTGACGAGCACCCGTGAGTGTCCCTACCCTCCCTAGTCGGACCCGCAAGAGCATGCTGCACCTTGTCGTTGGCGAGGACCTATGAGTGTCCCTACCCTCCCGCTAACCGGACCTCCGAGAGCGTGCCGCACCTTGTCGTTGGCGAGGACCTGTGAGTGTCCCTACCCTCCCCCTAACCGGACCTGCGAGAGCGTGCCGCACCTTGTCGTTGGCGAGGACCTGTGAGCGTCCCTACCCTCCCCCTAACCGGACCTGCGAGAGCGTGCCGCACCTTGTCGTTGGCGAGGACCTGTGAGCGTCCCTACCCTCCCGCTAACCGGACCTGCGGGAGCGTGCCGCACCTTATCGTTGGCGAGGACCTGTGAGCGGGGCGCGATGGACGGCGGCGAGATGAACACGCGCGCCGCCTGCAGCAGCGTCTGAGAGCCGGCCGGGCCGGGCCGGCTCGAGAGGCCGTGCAGCGGCTCGGCGATCACAAACAGCACCGTCCGGGAGAACACGCACGGCCGGGTCACGCTGAAGGCCTGCATGTAGTCCTGCGGCACGGCCGGCCCGTCACTACCAGGTCACGGCCAGATGGCACCCCCGCCACGGTCAGATGGCACACCAAACAAGGCCAGGTCACGCCCGTCACGGTCAGGACACACCAGTCACGGTCAGGACACACCCGTCACGGTCAGGTGGCACACCCGTCACGGTCAGCTAACGCCCCTCACGGTCAGGGTACAGCGGCCAGTCGGGACATACAATTCACGGCCAGTTCAACCCACAACGGTCAGATCATGCTCGTCACCGTCAGGAGACGTTCACAGTTGGGTCTCACCTGTCAAAGTCAGGTCACGCCATTCACGGTCAGGTCACACCCGATACAGCCAGGTCGCGCCCGTCACGGCCAGGAAACACCATTCCCATTTACGCCACGCCCGTCGCAGTCAGGCAACGCCCGTCACGGTCAAGAAACACCAAATTCGCGGTAAGGTCGAGCGTTCTAGATCAGGTGGCGCTGGCCCGATTCGGTCACCAGCTGAGTCACAATCAGGTCACGATCAAGCGCCGCCAGTCACAGACAGGCAACAGACGTCACCACCGGATCACAGAGGTCGATGCCAGTCCCGCCAGTAAGACCAAGTCACATGCAAGCCGTTATCGACGGCGCAAACAGAACGGCAATCATCAAAAGGTCCAGATTAGTCACGATCATACCAGGCCCGTCACGATCCGTTCACCGTCACGTCAGTGCACGCGCGGCCAGCTCACGCCCTGCGCGTTCGCGTCACTGATGCGGCCCCACAGTCGTCTCACGTGGGAGGCGGTCGTCGCAAACGGCGTGCGGTCGCTGCAGCGGCGCCATGTTGCCCGAACCAACACAACCGAAGCACAAACAAACGACCCGTAAAAAGAAAACAAACAAACGCCTCACGAAACTTTGAGCAGCCACATAAACATCTAATGGCGAGCAAAACACACCACAGGCCAGCAAAGCCGCCACAGCCACGCCAGCACCATGTTATGACTGCGCGTAACATCACGGCTGGTCGCCGCACTCCCCGCCCCCCCTCCCTCCCCTCCCACCTGATCCTTCTACGCGCCGTCCCGCAGCGTGCCATGAGCGTCGCGTGCGTACCATGAGCGCGTGCAGGTGCTTGCAGTCGAGAACGGAGCGCAGCCGGAGCAGGCGGTCGATCAGGGCGCCCAGCTCGTCCAGGGTGTGGGGGAGCGCGCGCAGGCGCGGGTAGCGCGGGAAGGCCGGCGGCAGCTGGCGCTGGTTCAGCAGCGGATCGAACCCCATCGTCACCAGGTGGCCGCCTGCCGGAGCAAGGAACGGGCGGTCGGTGCAGGTACCGAGCCATGACCCCGGGTCGGATCAGTCGGAACACTGAGGAGACACATCCCCATGGCGGGCCCGCGAAGAGATCAACAATATGACACACAACAGGCACCTAGGCAGGAGAAAGCACAGCAGAAAACAGATGACAAAACATCTGGAAACTTGCATACCAACCCAGAGATCGAGCATCACCATGATACCATGACAACACGAAGAACGCACTAACGTTACCTTTGGCAGCTTCTTCTACTTGGTGGTAGCTAGCGCCCAAGGTGCACGTATTCTTCAACAAAGGCAAAAGCTCCTTAGCGGAAGTCAACGCCTTCCAAGCCTCATCTAGACCCTGATTCTCCTTTTTGGAGAAAGCTAACACAGCTTGAAAGAGGCAGCGAAAGAACTTCAGGCGTGCTTGTACAGCAACAAGCTCATCCATCTCCTGCAAATAGATCACGGGCACAGGTGAACCCCATCCCGTCTCTTGAACATGGCTGTGCACGTGCTATCGGCGCGATCAGAAGCTATAGGTCGTAGGATTACCTTATGGGACAGTGTCGGCAGTGTGGTATAACGATTGAAGGCTCACGAAACTTTCAGCAAGTCACAGGGCCTGGTACAGCGGGAGATTTCGAAGTGATAGGATAAGTATCAAAGCTAGGCCCCAGAGCTCCTGATGTGTGCATGCACTGGGGCTGCTGGAGCCACCTACAACAAGCAACGGGTCCACGTGTGCGGGGTTCATGTTTCCGGGGTTCATGTTTGTATGGGGTTCATGTCTCCCATCGCTCCCCTCCCATGTAAGTCACGAGCATCAGCTCCGACCACAATCTATTCGCCAAAATGGACAGCCCGTGGAAGGAAAAACCACACCATCTATCATTTGCATGCAACATGATCACGCCAGACCCACGCCGCGACTCGACCCATCTGTGTCCCTCGGCCACGTGGGCTTCCTCCGGACCAGGCCGCGGCTGCGGCGCTGGGGCCGGGACCCACCTGTCTGTGGGCGGCGTCGGCGCCGCGCCGGCGTCCGCGCACCTCCCGCGTCACGTCCTCCTCCGCCTCGCGCAACATGCCGACGGCGCGCAGCGGAGTCACGCCCGTTCGGTCCGGCAGGCTCTGCGGCTGGAAGTCCTCCTCCTCGTACAGCAGAGCTCTGTGGGAGGCGAGGTGAAAGTGACGAGGCAGCAGGCTCTGTGGCTGCAAGTCCTCTCCCTCATACAGCAGAGCTCTGTGGGAGCTCAGGCTCTGTGGTACTGGAAGTCCTCTCCTCATTACCAGCAGTGCTCTGTATGTGCTCTGTGGAAGGCGAGTTAGAGTGACGAGATGGCAGGCTCTGTGGCTGGAAGTCCTCCCCCTCGTACAGCGGTGCTGTGGGAGGCGAGGTGAGAATGGTGAGGCAGCGGGCTCTGCAGCTGGAAATATTTTTATACAGCAAGTCCTATGGAAAAGGAGTGGGGAAGCACGACACTGAAGTAGTCATGGAAATGTAGTCGCAAGTCGCAATGCATCATAGTGGGCATGACTACACTCAAAATGACCAAATCCACAGTTTAAGAGCAGACTAGTGGTTCCTGTTTGCTCCCGGCGTGCACAGAGGCGACGCCGTTGGGGCTGGTAGCAGCGCCAGCCGTGTCGTTGCGCCGACTCGTGTCTCAAGACTGTGGCGCAGATCCTGCGTTTCCTGTTTCACCCTCATATACAAAACAAATGTCTCCTTGCTAAATGTTTCAGTATACCCACCTGTTGCGCCCACGGTGGCGGGCACTCGCATCCAATGGGCATTCCTCCATGCGGCAGATCGTCATGCATGTTGAACCCGTTCGCACCCTAAAATTTCACGGCAATCCGTGGAACCGTGTGCGTCGGGCGCCTGGCTAAAGAGACGCGCCCACACAGACTGCCAGACGCCACTAATTTAGTACACTAGAGAGGAGATGGACACCGGAGTCATACCAACTTCAGTTATCATCTTCATATGTCCAAAGAACAAACCACGGACAGGAAAATCCACCACGTGCTCACGAAACTGATTGGGAGTCTATATGATCTGCGTTCCACCCATATCACCAACAGCGTCCACTCCGTCCCCACCTTCCGACGGAAGGATGCGAGCCACCCACGCTGGGACACTCAGCGCAGAGCTGATGGTCGCCTGGCGGCCTGTGCCCGCCTCGCTGGGAGACGGCCGACTTACACCTGAACGAGCAGCTCGGAGATAGTGTTGACCACCTGGATGGTGGCGATGCTGAAGGCTTTGACGACGCGGTCCTGGATGAGGTGCGGCGCCTGCAGGTAGACGTTGGTGGAGACGGTCTGGGTGAGACTGTGACCCTCCAACCAGGACATGAAGTAGGCCAGCGCCGTGTCCATGACGCCCAGCTGCTCGCGGCACGTTAGCTCGGCCGTCTTCAGCAGGCCGTCCTGTGGCGGAGCATCAGCAGGGTCAGCAGCGGCGTCAGCAAGCACGGCCCGACACGCCCAGCTGCCACGCACAGCAGGCCCGGCCGACACTGCTGCCTCGGTTCGTGGCTGGCTGGATGGACATCATGGTATTCAATGTTGTGAGGCATATCTACTTCATGATTATTTGGCGGCAACTTGAAAATGCTCAGCCTAGTGGCAATAAGGTTCAGCCTAGCCCTAGTGTTAAAATGCTGTTCAGCCAAGTCATTACCGCTGTTTATCTAAAACGATATAATTCATGCATACACCTAAAATGTGGTGTGGCCAAACGTGACCCCGGAAACGTGCAACAAAACGGCGATTCTGGGCGCTTTTTCACATCGTGGGCTCCAAACTATACGCCACCGGAGAAGGCTTGAGCAAGGTCCTACCGCCCGGTTCAGTCACAGGGACGAGAGCAGAGAAGCACATCTCATGTCATCAAAGATCAGATCAGCGCACCCCATCTCCCTTACCGCGGCGCGTCCTGGCCCGGTCACTGAAACAAACACTTGATGTATGTGTGCTCAAGCTATAGCAGACAAACAGCAGCTTCTTGAAATCGATTTGTGAAACCGGAGGACCCTTATTCGCCAGCACATGGTTTCAATGGATGTGTCTGCTCGAAGAGCTTCTGCAACATACCATGTGCCCCCTTTGCACCTACGGACTAGGTGTTCGCGACTGGTGGATTAGTGGGGAGGGGTCTGTTTTTGGCACGTTGCCGCAGAGGGCAGAAGCCGCGGCTTACGGACCGACAGCACGCGATTGCATAACGGCACATGCCACAGCGCAGCGCCCCACGGCGGGGTCGTCACGACCCGATGAGCCACCGGCGGCGTTGTGAATGAACACCTGTTTGCGAACAGTCAAAGGTTTTATATAGATCGTTCTTAGCGCGTAACGCTCTATCATCTGTCTCCGGTTGTGCCTCGGTGTATTGACCAGTCCCCGTCACTGAAAGCGCGGGTGTCTCCTTTTTTGCTGCCCCTCCCCCCCCCCCCCCCCCACTTTGAGACCCAAGACAAATCCGGGGAAATATAGTTTTTTCCCCACACTAAGAGGGAAGATTTAGCTATTTCCCCTGATCAGCCCGCTCCCAACCTTGTGTCATGAAAGTACGCCTCTGACCGCAAGCAAGCATAACATGCACCAAGCCTGGTCCCCGTGTGGAATGGTGACGTCCGTGCGTGACCGGACTATACACAAGTTGACGACGCCGAGACGGTGGTGCGGCCAGCCATGACTGCCTTACATTCGCGACCCCCTGCGAACTGCTCGACAGCTGCCGCTGCCGCACCAGCAGCCCGCGCCGTGTGGGCGCCCCTCACCTCCGCGGCCTGCTGGAAGCTGCGGACCTGCCGCTGCGCCGAGTTGCACAGCATGCCCACGTCCATCTTGGGGTCCATCATCTCGATCGCGGACATGGCGTCGAACAGGCCGAACATCTCATCATGCACCAGCTCCCCCAGCTTCAGATCTGGGCAAACACAGAAAATGGAAGTTAACAAAACCACTTTTTCGACCATCATGCACAAATAATCTTGCAAAGTCACTCACTGTTGCTCAATCAGCATGATGCATTGGAAATTTGAGCACCCAGAAATTCTAAAATGCCACTGATCTGTTAGACACATTGGAGTTAAGTATCCTACCCCTGACTGTGAACACAGCACTGTCTGGTATCAAAATCCAAACAATGCTCCAATGCAAGCACTGTGCAACAAATAAATATACATTTTCATATTTTGTTGTCTTTATCCTAGCATCCACAATTTGTGATACCTTTGTCAAACTCTGGTCATAACCACGGCACAGAAGTCACACATCTTTGCAGGCATCAAATAAAATCATGTATACCTTTGCATGCATCAAAGAAGTTTTCAGTGATCTCTGACCAGTTGTATTCCACCTCTGGCTCTGGGGGCGCTGATGGCTCCAAGTCCATAGTTGCAGGTCTGAAATGGAACAGACAATGTAAACAAGCACAATGCATATAAGCCTGTTATGGAGTAGCAGTGACTACATTTGGGTCCCCTAGTGTCAGGGCCCAAGGCATGATCATAATCCCGGCCTGAGTCTCCATATCACAGCACAAAGCTTTAGCCACTAAACCAATTCCTTTCAAATACAATGTTCATTCAACACAGCATGGATTTGATGAATGGTGTTAGACAGCACCATGTAGCAGTGAGAGGCATTGAACAGGATTAATCATACTTTCTCAAAGTTCCAACAGACAGGAAAGCTTTACAGAAATCAGTTTGGAAATAATGACTTTTAAGGAAGCAGGTTTTGGGCATAGCATAACTTATAAAAAGAAAGCACACACAAATTTAAAAAGCATACCATGCAACACAGATCAAACTTGATAACGACACACAAATGTGAACACACCTTGCCTATACTAAAAGATCATGAGCAGGGATAATTTGTCATGGGTATTCAATGTACTCCTCCTAGCACATTTTATCATATATGCCATGATAATCACTTTTTTACTAAAATGATCAATGTTTAGATCTTTATATATATATATATATATATATATATATATATGTATGTAAATATATATGCATGTGTGTGTGTGTGTGTGCATGTGTGTGTGCATGTGTGCATGCATGTGTGTTGAACTGTGTGACTAAGAGCTTGAGTACATAAGAGCAAACACCTCATCCCACACGTCTGACCCGTTTTCATGCTGAAACTCCGGCACCTTTTGATATTTGTGAACTCACTGGAATTAGTAATCATGGGAAGTATACATGAAATATCCCAGCATTAATCAGATGAAATCATGTAAAATGGGTTACCAGACAAAAATGTCTTTATAATGCTACTCAGGAATGAATCATTCCTTAGTGCAGGGTTGCATAATGCTGACATGAAAGATGATTTGTTATCTTGCACATATTTGAAAATATTAATACATTTAGCAGAATGGCCAGCATGGTAAAAAGAACTGATGCCAATTTAGACCATCCTACTCCAAATGTTGCTATCATTTCAAGCACAGCAAAGAAGCTACGTAAGTATAATCTTCAAACAGAAGATTCCTAGTTGATTTGAAAAGCATATATTTTTTCAAGAGCCATGGTAAAATTATTCCCCCAAGAATTTTGGCAGGAATAAAATGGTGTCAGACAGCACCAATTATTTCTGCCATTTTTAGGATAGAGAACAGCAAAAAAGACCTGGAATTGGACAAAAACAATCCCTTTTTTAATTATCTCCATTTAGGAAAGTACTCTTACTCTGCTGTGCTAGTGACACTTCTCCTTGACATCTGTCATTTGATAACAAAATGAGCTTGGGGACTACTACATTGTCTCCATACTACAAAAAAGCATGTTAGCAAGTGAAGCAGATCTGATGTAGAAGCAATATTTGAGCAACAATTGAAGTACATGCACAAAAGAGCTCACATAGTGAATAATGGTTGACACCATTTTCAGAGCATGGACAGGAAATGTTCCCAGAAATGATAATGCTGTTAAGTTTGTTTCAAGCAAAAATATTTTCAAAACAGCCTGTAAAGCAAAAGCTGCTAGAAAATGAAACGAATTTTAGCCAGGCTACATTAAGTATACTGCACTCCAGCTTCACAGCACCATCTTTTGTGGGCATCCAGCACAGTGGGTGATTTTTTCAGACTGATGCTGCTTCATGTATAACTGTGGCCTGACAGAAGCTTGAAATGTTCAAAATGCACATGAAGTTCCAAAGATTTTAGCATTCTTGATATGATGATATCCTCTTTAGACTTTATCATCCTCCAATTTGGGGAGTCAAACGAAGAACGGAACAATGTGAAGGTCACATCACGCTTTATGGTTTTAGATGCAAGCGGAACAGCGCACTCCAACGACCATGTAGCATTTTTCTCAAGCTGACAGCTGTGTATTAAGCAAACGCCAAACTTAAGTGACCTAAGAGGACGTACCGTGGCATCCCCACAATACATGAACGTCACTCCATAATTTACCATCAGGCGATGGGGCACCACCTACGCCTCCTCTCCTCCTACGCTTGGCGCTGGCTTGGCGCACGGGCAATCACGTTCGCGAATGTGCGCCGAAAACATCTACAAAGCTTTCGCGATCGCCCGACACGAAACAGGCAAATTAGAATGCATCGCGTCACCTTTGCTTCAGAAACTCAAAAAAAGCAATCGCGATCAACACCATGCGCTGTTCACGCACCTGTTCAGAGAAAAAGGTATTATTTTGAGCTCAGAACCATACAAATTTAAACTTACACATTTCTGCCTTTTGAGTACCACCAGTCTTACATCAGCTTTCAGCGTGCGGGCCTAGAGGCCTGGGGCTGACTGACCTTTTCACTTCGGACCAATCGGAGAAGACAGCCTGTTAATCCTCCGAATTCCCCCGAAATATTCCTCGGTGCTTGGGTTGAGCAAGCACGATGGGCAAATCACATCCAGGCGTAGGGGGACGTGGGCGCGAGAGACAGTCCCCCCCCCCCCCCCCCCCCATTTCAAGCGTCAGTCGAAGATTCCTGCGTGCTGTCCCCGTCTATTGGAAAAATTGCTGAATTTGAATTGCGATTGTTTTCTATTGCGTGGATTCGACGACCCAGCGCGGGTGGATGGAGTGAGGAACAAATCTGCATACACCTGCTGTATGACCATACCGTGTTACTGCCAGCAGCTAAACTCCTGGGTGGAAAATACCCCCACATGTTGCGTGGCACGGCGGCTAAGGCCATTATATTTCATTGAGGAAGCATACATTTGCGACTTGGAATTGAAGTGATTTGGCCGCTGTCATGCGTGCTGTAACACATTTTCTACCCATCGATGTTCAGAATAATACGGTCACATCACTGACTGTGCCTACAGCAAAAACGAAACTACGTCTCGAGATCTGGACAAAAAACAATTTATATAAAAAGTACCAGCGCGATATTCAGATATTTTGAGAAAAGTTGACACGGCTGCTCCCACAACTTACATAACACATGTCGCATCCATGACTATACTGCGCGTGTGGTGATATCACCGGCGGTGCCATCAACAAACGAAACTTCTGAGTTCCTGACACACACTGATTCATGTTCGAAGTACCAGCACGAGTCAAATCTGACCCACTCTTTTCGGCACCAGCCGTGAACTAACAATATCCGACAACACTAGGACACACGCCAAACCGCCGTCAGACAGCACTGGCCCACCCCGGCCCGGCATGGCACCGAGTCCGGGAAGTGTCATAAATCAACCAGTGAGGGGCAACAGCGGACAGCCCTCACTCCCATCGGCGTCCGAGGAGTCGGCACACGCGTGACGGACATCGCCTCCTCCTGCGAGGAGGCCGCGACAGGCAGTCGCAAACGGACAGCATGATTCCATGCAGCACAAGCGGCAGATCACGCAGAGCGCGGCGTGCCTCGGTCATTGATCAGGGGCCGGCTCCCATCCCTCCCGCCGCCGCTTGGCTGTTCTGGGCGCAGTGTCACCCGCTCTCTTCCGGCCGCCCGCCGTGGACGGCGCCGCGGACCCCTCCCCGTCGTCGTCCAACAGGTCGCCGAACATGTGGTCCACAATGTGACAGTGGCCGTCGCCGTCGCCGTCGGACTGCGCGGCGTCCAGGTCCCGCAGCTCGGCCGGCGGCTGGAACGACAGCAGCGCCGGCCAGAAGAACAGCGACACAAAGCGGGCGACCAGCAGGTTCCAGGCGGCCGCGTCCGAGTCGGTCGGCGGCGGGCCTGCCTGTTCCCCGTCGGCCGCGTTCGGCCGCGCAGCGAGCGGCGCCTTACTGATGGACATCTGGACCAGGTTCGGGATGCGCTGCATGAGCCGGGCGGCCAGCGCCGACGGGTCGCTCGTCTCCTCGACCGGCAGGACCACAGTGTGGACGTACGGCGCCGCTCCGGGCGCCTGCTGCGTCAGCCGCACGTGTGCCAGCCGGTCGCGGTGCCGCGTCAGCTCAGTCGACTGCAGCCAGGGCGTGACGCTCTCAGCCCCAGCGCCGCCGCCGCCGCCAGACATCGCATCGTCCGCCCACTGCGCCGCGAACTGGTTGAAGTATTTGCCCTCGAGTGACCGCTGGGGTCCCGGCTTGACAGCCAGCCCCTCGAGCCGCGCCCGCTGCAGCAGCAGGCTGCGGAACATGGAGGCGCTGGCATGCGTGGGCGGCATTAGCGGCATCTGGCGCCAGCTGAACTCGGGCTGGCCCACTGCTGCAGCTCCGGCTGCCCCGCCGCCGCTCCGTCTCGGTCGCCGCTGCTGGCCCCGCCTCGACCGCCGCCGCCCAGTGACGCAGCATGGCCGCGTCGACGCCGTCGACGGGCGCGCCGGCGTCGGCGCACGCGCGCAGCTGCGCCGCGTCCGGCCGGCGCAGGCACCAGGCGCGCGCCGTTCGCGCCGCGCTCGCCGCGTTCAGCGCCGCGCTCGGGGTGGCTTCGTCTTGTGCGGGTGGCGGGCCTCACAGTCGATGAGGTCGGCCAGCTGCTCACTGCAGCGGTCCATCTCAAGCTGCTTCTTGATGGCAGCTGTTCGGACGGCGCGCATCCTGGGCCTCCAGGCGGGTCTACCGGGGCGGCGCGCGCTCGCCGTCAGGAAGCCGCGCGCGGCCCGTACGCGTGCGTCCTGGTCGCCGTCCGCCGGCATGTAGGGCGCCATTCGCCGCTCCAGATTCTTCCGCAGGCCCTCGTAGTAGCCGACAATGTGCATGTTGGGCGGCTCGGCCAGGCTGCCGGTGGCCGGAAGCGCGCCCCGCGACAGGAAGGCGCGCTGGATTTGCCGGAACCGGGTGCGACAGAGCATGCCGTTGCGGCCCGAGCCTAGCTCGCGCGCCGCGGCAGCCCACTGCGGCCCGTTCTCGCGCACGAAGCGGATCAGCCGCTCCTCCTCATCGCGCGTCCACTTGACGCGTGTGAGGCCGGGCTTGAGACGCGTTTCGTAGCGGGAGTAGAGCTGGCGCGCCGAGCGGCCCGGCACGAGGGCAGCCACGTGCTGCCAGTCGGAGATGCCGGCCCACTCCACGGCGGCCAGGATGCGCAGGTCCTCCATCTCCGAGAAGCGGGTACGCAGCACGCGCGGCGCCACAGCGAGGTAGCGCCCGGAGCATTGCGAGGCGGTGCGATCCTTCATCTGCGCGGCCACGGCCGTCCACGATATGAAGTTGCCGACGCGCACCGTCTCCACGATGCGCAGCAGCCGTTTCGTATCGGCTTGGTTCCAGTAGTTGCGCTGGACGCGGCTGAGCGCCGTGGCGTAGCGCTGGAACACCTGGAACGGCGTACGGCCGGTGTCCATCACCTGCGCGGCGATCGCCCACGGGTTGACCGTCCTGTCCTCGGCCGCCGCCCGCACCTGCCTGTCCTCAGCCGGGGTCCACTCGGCGTGGCTGATGGTGGGACGCACGAAGTTGCGCCACTGCAGCCGGCACTCGGTGGGCGAGCGCTGGCCGGCGAAGTCGCTCTGCGAGATGCGCAGCCAGTCGTAGTCGTCCTGCTTCCGCGCCACCACCAGGTCCAGCTCGGGCGTATCCTCGGCCTGGCGGACGGCGCGCTCGGCGTCGACCAGCAGGTCGCGCAGCGCCTCCACCCGGCGCTGGTCAAGGTTGGGCTGCTCCGCCCGCTCGCGCAGCCGATCGTGGATCATCGCCACCTTATGCTGCGCGGCAGCGACGTTCTGGCGGCGCGCGTCGTCCCGCACCGCTTTGAAGAGCAGTTCGCGCTCCGACTGCAGCCAGGGACGCGAGACGCGCAGCGACTCGAACTCACCCCGCTTCGTCTTCGCCACCGTGTCGGCGTTCGGCTGCGGCCCGAAGCCTTGCGCGTCGCAGAAGTACTTGCTGACGAACACACGCCACTTGAAGGTGTATCGTGAGGGACCGCCGCCGGGTCGCGCGGAAGACGGCGCCGTCCGCTCGTTCCTCAACTGGACCACCAGTTCGCGCTGGCGGCGGCGGTTCTCACTCAGCAACCGCTGCAGCTCGCCCAGGTTCTCGTCCACCACCTCCTGATAGGCGGTGTTCAATGCCAGACAGTTCTCTAGGTTGACGGGGATGTCCGACCCGATAAAGTCGTCGTCGAGGAAGTCCTCCTGCGAGAGAATGTCGTCACCAAGTCCGGACGAGAGGCGCGGTGCGGCGGACGCCAGCGACGGCCGGCTGCCGCCGCCGCCGCCGCCCGGGGTCCGCCCCTCCGTCGACGCTAGCGACGGGGCCGACGAGCGCGAGGCCGTCCCCGGGCCGGACGGAGCGGGCACGGGCGCATCCGGCTCAGCCGGCGACGCAGCCAGCACCCGCGACAGCTTGTTGATATCGCCCTGCAGCCCCGACGGCCCCGCGTCGCCCTTCGTGTCCGCGTCCGGCGGCGCCGCAGCGACGCTCCAATCCAGTTCTAATGAGTCGTACACGTCGTCCTGGTCATCCGCTTCCGAGTCGCCGGCGGCTAGCACCTGCGACAGCTTGTCGATGTCGCCTTGCAGCTGCGACGGCCGACCCCCGGCGTCCCAGCTCGAGTATGGTGGTTCTTTTCCTGCATGGTCTTCATCTTCGGGCGATCCCACTCCGTCACTTTGGTTCGGTTCGCCAATCTGCCAGTCTGGAACAGGTCTCCACTGCGGCGCCTTGCGTGGCTTTTCGAGGTCAATGCTCCAGTCCACCTGCGGTGGTTCTCCATTCAGGAAGTCGTCCGCCTCCTCCGACGGTCCTCTTAGGCTATCGTTATGCAGGTGATCGGACTCTGAACCCATTACAGCCAGAGGGTCAAGCATCTGCTGTCCAGCACCTCCTCCCGACCCCGGTGACTTTTCATCATCAATGTAGTCTTCTTCAGTAATTGCATGGCGACCATCGCTATCAAAATGCTCGCGCTCCACAGCTGTTGAAATTAACGCATTCGTGGCCTTGCTGGCGCTCGCTTGCAGCTTTGGTGCTTTATTTCTTTCGATGCAGTCCAGCTGTGAGATTTTACCTCCTACTGCAGCATATAGCTGTCCTGGTTTGGAATCTAAGGAAACTTGCACCTTCAAAGACTGTTCGGTATCTGCTCGCGCTTCACGTGGCTCATCATTACTGATGCAG